AATGATGGAACTCTCAGAATGGAGGAAACACTTTTACAACAAGAGAAAAGGATCCCTGAGATGGTTAAAAAACTAAATATCACACCAAAAAATACATCATATTATTGGTAAAGACGTTCTAACAATTAAGATTAAGGACTTGAGAAGGGTCACAGAAGAAATTAGCAATTTCTACATTCTCAAGTAAGGAAATTTTTAGGCAATAAAATTGTGCAGTTGTGAGTCCAAAAGGCTAAACAAAAAAGTACAAAACCAAGAAGCCACAGATTCAGGGGTTCATAGTGATTGGATAATGTAATGGGTGACAGATGACCACAAAGTGGTCATAGGCCATCACATTCAGAAGTGTACCATCCATACATCCAAAAAGGATAAAAAGAGACATCTGAGTCAGGCAGCCCACATAGGAAATGACTCTGCTGTAAGTTTGGATTTTCACAGTCATCTTTGGGACTGTGGTGGAGATAAAACCAATGTCAGCCAAGGACAGGTTGGAGAGGAAGAAGTACATGGGGGGAGGGTGGAGGTGGGAGTCAGAGCTGACAGCCAGGATGATGAGCAGGTTCCCGAGCACTGTAACCAGATACATGGACCAGAACAGCCCACAGAGGATGGGCTGTAGGTCTGGATCATCTGAGAACCCGTGAGATAGAATTCTCAGACATGTGTCAGATTTTGTGGTTCTCTATTGCTTGGACACCTTTTGAAAAAGGAAAGAGGGTTTGGAATAAAGAAGCATGTGCCAGCATGTAGAAGTGTGTCTATATTTTGAATTCAAGCAATTCAATAGAAAATTTCTTGCATTTAAAGACCATACACCTTCTACCGTATTTCCTAGTTAGGAAAAACCAATTTTTAGAATGTTTTCATTATAAATATTTTAAATTTTAAAATCATTTATTATTATTATTATTATTATTATTATTCACCTGTTTCTAATCTTACTTATATTAGACTGCAGTTCAGATGTTGCATGCTCCACAAAGACACAAGTGTTAAAGGATGAACCCTATGGTGGTGCTCTTGGGAGTTGTTGGAACATAAAGAGATGGGTACTAGTGGGTGCTTTGTGTGGTTGAGAGCTTGCTCTGGAACGGGATAGAGGGACCCCATCTGCCTCCTCTTTCTCTCCATTTTTTTTTCCTGGCTATACAGTAAGAATTTTTCTCTATTGCTTTCTCCCAACATGATATGTCACCTGATCACAGACTCAAAACAATAGGGTTCAATTAATCCTGGGTTGAACCTTCTAAATCTGTGAGCTAAAATCATGCCTTTCTTATTATAACCTGTTATTTCAGGTATTTGCTGGTTAACCCAGAGATACTCTACTGAAGATTAAGCCCAACAACATTAGAGATATCAAATTCATATTCATTGTAATATGTATCTAAGACCCTAAATACAGTATATAGAATAAGAAATATCCCTATTTCTTTAATAAGATAAACAATTCTAATTAAAAGACATTAAAAAGTGATCAAAAATCAATTTATTGTATTTTTACAAATTCCCTTGGCTTAGAATAGTAACATACATACTACAAGAGCCACGCCTGTGTTGTTGTTGTTGTTGTTGTTATTATTATTATTATTATTATTATCAAGAATTACCACAAAGTTCAAGCATCATAATCACAAAGTATGCTCTTTTTCCTGTTAAATTCAAAGTTTTCATAATTCTTTCACTTTTAGGATTTTGCTTCTTCATGGAAATAATTGTTCACTCAAATATGTGGATTGTCTTTAGAAGTCACTTAATACACAATCCTCACCCTTTGTCTTCAGTATATTTCAAATTTTGAGAAATATGTACATAACCATGTGTACAATTATCAAGCATCCCAGACCACATAGATGGCATTAGTGTACCACATATGTTAATAATTAAACAAAAGTAAAAACTTTAGAACAGATTTTTTCATTGCGTTATATTATACAGGTTTGTTTGAATTAATTCCTTGTAATCAGAGGAATGCATCTTGTTTGGTCATTATTTGCTATTCTGTATATTTTTTTGTATTTTTTTAAACTCTGTAATCCACAGTGGACTGTTAAAACTGCTTCATTTTACAATCATGCTTAGCATACTGGGAGCCCCCCAAACCAGATTTGAAACAGCCTTCAAAACCTAGTTCAAAGGTTTCACATCATTGCTGTCACAGGGATTAGACATTCTCTTACTTCATCTACCTGAAGGACACTCACTTTCATCATTTTGAATGGTCACATAATTATTTAACTGGAAAAATATATAAAAGATTCAAAGAATAAACATACCTGAACCAATTCCTCATGTGTTAAATTAGCACAATAATTAGACCTAAATAGTTATAAATGATTGAAACAGTATTTTTTTAATATTTAAATTTCTTAAACCAAGTGATTCTCAAGAGCAATGGATCCATGTATTTACCAAAGATATTTCAAATATACTGATACTGTGTCTCTGAATAGAATGAATTTAATCAGATACAGCTGATATTTAAGACTCTTGATGGATAGAAAAAAAACCTGCCATAGAAAATTGTCCAACACTTAAAAAACGATCACTTAATAATATCTATTATTGTTCTCATCAATATCCACCCTGTATATTAAACACATAAACATTAATAATATTTGCCTCACCTCATATTTTGTAGAAATTTGTACTAATACCAGTAAAGCTTTTGTTTCACAGGGGTCTTTGCATGATCATATTTCTTTCTTTTTTTTTAATTAGCTACACATGACATTACAATGATCTTGACAATTCATACAGTTGAATCAAATGGGGTATAATTTCTCATTTTTCTGATTGTACAGATTGTAGAATCACATTGGTCATACAGTCACCTATATACATACAGCAATCATAATGTCTATTTTATTCTGCTGCCCTTCCTATCCCCCATTCCCCTCCCCTCCCCTCCCATCACTTCTCTCTACCCAATCTAATGTAACACACTTTTTCTTTTTTTTTTCTCCTCACAACATCATACATGTATTCTGTATAACAATGAGGGTCTCCTTCCATATTCTGTGCAATTCCCCTCCTCCATCCTTTTCCCTCCCACCTCTCTTCCCTAATTAGTGGTAATCTTCCTCTCATGTTCTTCCTCCCTACCCCATTTTGAGTCACCCCCCTTATATCAGAGAAGACATTCAGCATTTGTTTTTTAGGGGTTGGCTAACTTCACTTAGCATAATCTGCTCTAATGCCATCCATTTCCCTGCAAATGCCATGAGCATGATCATATTTTTATGTAGACATTTCCCTCAAAACAAGGTTTTTGTAAATGTGGTGGGTAGATTTTCCTGTCATAGTTTCCACAACATTACTATGGATTTGTATACCATGAACAGTCTCCTAAATCTTAGCTGAACAGTATTCCACACAAGTTTTCACTAAAGTGATCTTAGTACCATAGCATTGTGTTTGAATCTCTCTGTAAGGAACATATATCTACTTCAAATATTTTTAGTGCACAACATTATCTGCAGGAAATGCATACTTTTTCCAGTTAATCATTTTATATTTCTATATTTTAATATACATCTAATAAATTTAGAACACTTATTAAAAGTTTTCCTACAAAGTACCCAAAGCTCTTTTAAATCATACCAATTATACCTAAAACAAAATTATATGCATGAATATTTTAAGTCTGGGGTACACACCTGCTTTAAACACTTTCGAGGATGCATCATCTGACAGAGCAACCTCACTTTGCACTTTGCATGTCAGTGTACTATTGCAGTGCTCCATGTAGTCAGCTCACAATAGCCAAGATAATCAGCCAAAGTATCATTGGTGAACATGTAGTATATGTACACAATTAAATATTATTCAGATATGAAAAAGAGTAATTTGTGGCAATATGGATTTAACTAGAGGACATCAAGTAAAAAAAAAGTCAAGCATAGAAAGACAGACAATTCTCACCAATTCTCACTTGCATGTGGAAGACGGAAATGTAAATTTAATTTAAATGGAGAGTAGAGTGGGGGCTCCCAAGGCTAGGGAGTATAAGGGAGTATTGGAGGGAAATAGAAAGAGGTTTTTTTTATTGAGTACAAAAATACCCTTATGAAAGAGAAATAAGTTCTTGCTTTCTATAGCACAGTAGGATGACTACAGCTAACAATAATTAATTGTATATTTTAAAGCAGCTAAAGCAGGATTTTAGATATTTCCAACACAAAGAAATGCTCAATCTTTGAAGTGATGGACATGCAAATTGTCCTGATTTGATCATTCCACATTGTATACATGTATTAAAATATCACACTGTATCCTGTAAAAACTGAACAGTGGATTTCATTTGGCATATTGGTGCATGTACATAGCATAACATGCTCAGTATTAATCTCCAATGCCTCCCCTTACCTTCCCTCCTCCCTCTCCCTGATCCCCTTCATCTACCTAAATCAGTTTCCTGACTACTTTCATGATATGATTTTTTTTCTTTTTTTAAAATTTTTATTTCCTCTAGCTTCACATATGAGACAAAACATATGATACTTGTCTTTCTGTCTCTGGCTTATTTCTCTGAACATGTTACTGTCCACTTTCATCCATTTTACTGTAAATGACATAATTTCATTCTTCTTTAGACCTGAAAAAAATTGCCATTATATATATATATATATATCATATTTTCTTTATAAATCTTTTGTCAACAGGAACCTATACTGATTCCACAACTTGGCTATTATGAATTGAGCTGTACATATTAACTTCTTTCATGTCTTCAATTTTTAGAGAACATTTTCATTTTATTTCCATTCTTTATAGTGGTAAAAATACATGAAAAAATCACCATTTTTAGGTTCACAGTTACTGTGGAATTGATTATATTCACATTCTTGTTCAATATCATCATCATGCATTTGTACAAAATTTTCCAATTCCCAAACTGAGCATTTGTGCGTACTTTTAAAAGTCCCTATTCCTCTATCTCCAGTCAGCGTCCAACAACATTCTGCTGTGAAACAAGAAGAGGAATTAAGCACACAAACTGCAAATTAACATGCTGGGACGACAGTTCTATGACCTTAGTTTGGCTGCCTTTTCCAAACTAGATTCCTAATGGATGCCACAGGACCTGAGGTTCGACTGTTCTGCTGTGGAGCCTCCTCATGTCCCTGTTCCTCAGGTTGTAGATGAAGGAATTTGGCATAAGAGTGATCACAGCGTGCATCACTGAAGCTTCCGCACTGCTTCTGGGAGAATGTGATACAACTGAACCAATGTACACCCCAAGATTATCTCATAAAGTAAGAAAAAATGCCAAGTGAGACCCAAAGGTGGAGAAGGCTTTATACTTCTCACCTGATGATGGAGTTCTCTGAACAATGGAATGGAGAATTTTATAATAAGAGAAAAAGGATCCTTGAGATGGGATCTTGCAATAATTGCAAGATATTTCACCAAGAAAATAAACGACTATGCTATTAGTGAAAGTGTCAGAACAGGCAATATTAATAAATGGAGAAGGATGGCGGAAGAAGTTGGAATTTCCCACTTACTTAAAATAATAAATTGTACAGCAAACCATTTTTGCAGCCAGGAGTCCAAAAGGCTGACCAAAAATAATACTACAACTAAGAAGACTAAGTAAAGGGTGCAAAATTCAGACATTATATTTAAATTAATGTTCAGTCTTCAGTGATGTCCATCCCCAGTAATTTTTCATCCTCCAAAACTAAAATTTTGTATCCATTTTAAAATAATCCCATTCTTCCTTCTCCAAAATATTACTGCCTCCGTACTATGAAACATGATGATAATTAAAGCATACAAAGTACAAAACTAATGTGACCCAGGAGACATGATTCACGTGTCTACATGTTTACTTGTGCTGTATTTCCAAACTATATTCCAAATGGAAACCACAGGTCCTTAGATTAGACTGTGCTGCTGTGGAGCTTCCTCAGGGTTCTTCTAATGTCCCTGTTCCTCAGGCTGTAGATGAAGGGATTCAGCATAGGAGTAACCACTGTGTACATCACTGAGGCCACTGCACCCTTTCTGGGAGAATTTGATACAGCTGATCCAACATACACTCCAAAGCCTGTTCCATAAAACAAGCAAACTACTGAGAGGTGAGACCCACAGGTGGAGAAGGCTTTGTACTTCCCACCTGAGGATGGGATTCTCATAATGGAGGAAATAATTTTATAGTAAGAGTAAAAGATTCCTGAGATGGGAAAGAAACCAGAGATGGTGACAACAAAACACATTACTACATTATTGATAAAAGTATCAGAACATGAAAGATTAAGAAGTTGAGAAGGGTCACAGAAGAAGTTAGCAATTTCCATATCCTTGAAGTAAGGAAGTTGTAAAACAATCAAATTGTGCAACAGTGAGTCCAAAAGGCTAACTAAGAAAGACATCAACACTAAGGAGACACAGCGATGAGGGTTCAAGATGACTGAGTAATGCAGAGGGTGACAGATGGCCACAAACCGGTCATAGGCCATCACAGTCAGAAGCATATCATCCATACATCCAAAAATGATAAAAAGAGACATCTGTGTCAGGCAGCCCATGTAGGAGATGACTCTGCTGTGAGTCTGGATGTTCACAATCATCTTTGGAACCATAGTGGAGATGAAACAGATGTCTGTCAAAGATAGGTTGGCAAGGAAGAAGTACATGGGGGTGTGGAGGTGGGAGTCAGAGCTGACAGCCAGGATTATGAGCAGGTTCCCAAGCACTGTGACCAGGTACATGAACAGGAATAGTCCAAAGAGAATGGGTTGAAGTTGTGGATCTTCCGAGAGTCCTAGGAGATGGAATTCTGAGAGATGTGTTACATTTTGTGGTCCTTTATTGTTTGGACACCTTTTGAGAAAGAAAAGCCAATGGGAAAAAGAAGAGGCACCAAGAGTTCTGTATATATCTTAAATTCAATTATTCAACCTTCCACACTTGTGTTCCATGACTTTTAGAAACATTTCTAATTTTTGACATATCCAGTTTTCCTAGAACTCTTTCATTATTTGTATCTGTGTTATTTACCTCTTGTTCACAACTACTTTAGAGACACTCAACTATGTAATGTTAGATATCCAAGCACATTACACACAACAAGTTCATGATCCCAGTTAAATAACAACCAACTGTTTAAGATAAAATAGAGAATAAGACATATTCTTTCATATTGAAAGAACTTTAGCCTGTGGAATACATCTCATTTTATTCAACAACAATGGTGTAAGTTCAATTAACTTAGAATATTTGTAAACAAACTATGTTCTAGAAATGAAATATCTGCACACCAAATAAAAGTTGGCTGTTTGTAATTTAAAAAAAAAACTTGCCAGTTATCTGTTAGCAAATAAATCCACTGTTCTTTGATTTTTCCAATTTCCCTCCTTCAAGGATATACTTGATCTGTCAAATATAGTTTATCTCCTAAAAATCATTTAATATATAAATTTTATCCTCTAGGGCCTTCCAGTCTGCTTAATTGTTTTGCTGATCATAAACCTTCTTACATCTTAGCACCTCAACATCAGGAAGAGTCCTAAACCCTAGGTTTGAGTCCCCACTTTCTTATGTTTAGATTTTCACATCAATCCTTCCTAACATATGGATTGCAATTGTCTCACTTCAACTACCAAAAGGCAAGTCAAGTTCGTTAATTTGTCAACTCTGATTTAATTGGAGAAAACTGTAAAGAAAAGAATAGGACACCTCTGGCGAGTTTTCTGATTTGCATAATGGAGGTGAAAATTACATACCATATAGGGTTGTTACAAGGAAGTGTTTAAAAAATCTTTTGTATTGTATAAACTAGTATTTCTCAGTTTCATTTATCAATACATTTATTGGCTAACTTTTTAAAATATTCAGATACAGTGACTACAAACCAAATTAATTTAATCATACTACCTGCATGTGAAGTTCCTCATGACCCTTTTCTACAGTAGAGTTGAGAATCACTGCCTTTGTGCACTTCAAAAAAGCTTCATAGTAATAATTTTTATTAATGTCAATAATATTCACTACCCCCATTAAAATAAAAATAATATATTATTCAAAAATAATATTTAAATGTTTTATTGGTGTATATTAATTATGCAGAATAATGGGTTCTTTGTGGCATTTTTACACATGCACATAATTTGACCAATTTCACTCCCCAGTCCTCCCTTACCTTCTCACCTCTCCAATTTCCTTCTTCTACACTAATGGCCTCACTTCTGTTTTAGTGAGATCCCTATTACCCTTTATAGCTTCCACATAGAAAACATAAAACACTTGTCTTTCTAAGTCTGTCTTACTTTGCTTAACATGATACTTTCAAGTTCCATCAGGTTTCCAGAAAATGACATAATTTCATTTTTCTTTTTGGCTTAAATTTCTATTCTGTAGTCACATTACATTCAAAAATCATATTTGATAAAAGATTTGATGGTTGTCCATGAAATTTCAGTTTTTCATATCTAACAAGATTACATTCTCCTGCTCTTCTGTCCCCCCAAAGCAACTAATAACAGGAATTTAGTTAGTGTATTTTTCTGTCACTCTCCTCATGTCCTATTGACTTATGTGTCCATGAACAGCATTTGAGAAAACTTCCTAAAGGAACTAAAACCCATTTCTCCTGAAATGTGCTAGTTTTCAGTGACGTGTTTACTTACATGTTTCTATAATGTGCATATAGCTACTTCAAATGCTTTAAATTACTTACAGCATTATCTGGGAAGGAATATCATTTAATTTTTTATCATTATGACATCTTTTCAAAATTCTTATTCTCCCTATATCACAAGTGAGAATTTCTATGTAATATGTGTGTATTAGATAATGGTTGACTTCCAATAATTGAGACATGTACAGTTTTACTATTAATCATGTGTATCATTTCAATAGAATATTAGCTACTATCAATATATTCTCTTATTGTTAAGATACACCATAAAAAATATCCCTGCAGTAGGCCTAATAATAATCATTCCATGGTGTCATGCTAATAGATTTCATCTCCTATAGGAATATTATTTCCATTGGCTACAGTAGAGGAGGGAGACAAGTAGGGAGGCAAGAAATGAACATCTTGATTTCACACCATTAACCTTCTATAATCTGTAGAATGTGTATAAATCTTTGCACTTCTCTGAACTTATACTACTTAATGGAAATGGAAAGAATAACACTTATCTATTGTACATATCTGACATATTAGGGAAGTTTAGAATTTAATAAATATTTGGCCATCATGTTTAAAGAAATAAAGAACTGAATTCTTATGAAAATGTGAATTTATGATAAATGCAATTGTCAAAGGGTACTCATTCCTGGGATGACTGGAAACTCTAAACCGTGTCTCACTCCAAGCAATAAGAATCATATAGCTCCTTCTCTATCTGCAACTTTTTGTCATTCTATACCCATGAAAACCTCTACCATAGTCAGTGAAAAACTAAATATTGCAGATGCTGATAATTGGAATTATTGAACCAATATGTCCATGACATAGACAAATAAAGAGCTATTTTATCTTATCCCCAGTTCTATGGGACATTCTTGAAAGTGATGAAAGTACAGACAGAAGAAAACCATTTGATTATGGCCATTTTCTGTGAACAAAAGAATGATCTATTCAATATTTATCTGTGATTTTTTTGGTAATGCCTCCTTTTTGGTGAACAAGGAATAGGTACTAAGGAATCGGAAATGAGAGTTAGTCATTTCTCACCATATATATAGCATATAATTACATAATGACAAAAATAAAATGCTCTACTACATATATAGAAAAAGAGTAGCTTCAGGTCACAGGACATTTTTGTTGAATGGTATGAAGGTTAAAATCATCATTATTAATGCTATAGTCTAAGTTTTATTTTGCACTTATTTCATATAACCATTTATCCATTCTATATTAATCATATACAAAGAATGTTTTATCTGTAATCCTTACTTGGTGAAGTTCTATCAACTATAATTCAACTCAGTTGATCATGCTGAGTGTCAAAGATACTAAATGTTTGCCCTACATAACAGAGATAATAAATGGAGAATTGGGGATATAGCTCATTGGTGGAGCACTTGCCTAGCACACATGAGGTCTTGGGTTCAATCCCCAATAGTAATCTAAAGAAATAAAGAGAAAGAAGGGGATGGGGAGGAAGCAGGAGGTAAAAGGGAATAAAGGGAGGAAGGAAAGAAGGAAAAGTGAATCCAACAGCATTAAAAATTATGTTGTCAGTCTCTAGATCTGGAACACTGAAATGTTTGTTTCTCAATCATCAGTTTTAAGGAGAGGCCCAGAGGCATTAACCACAGACATCTAAAGTGAATTTTAAGGTCTCCAGATTCCTGACTAGGAGTTCCAGGAGCCAATTTTATTGAGATAGAGTGGCAGATTGTAAGAATGATGGAAGATGGAGAGAGCTGCATGCATGTCTCAAGATGAGGGGGAGAGAGGTCTGTGCTGAATAACACGTCATTGCTTTGTGACCTCTGCCTGTGACCCACAGTTCTCCTGCCTATAGCTCATGCAGCAGATGTAGAATACATCTCATTTTATTCAACAACAATGGTGTAAGTTCAATTAATAAAATAAAGATGACTCCACTGTGATCTACCTGGAACCTCCAGAGAAAAGAAAACAGGAAGCAAGCACTCTCTCCTGGAGTGAGAGGGAAGTGAATAGCAGGTTGAGTGTCAATAGCACAACATGCCAGCATTCTATTGGCAAGAATGACCTGAGTCCTAATCAGATTTATTCAAGTAAGGCCTCCCTCATTTCTACCTACCTAGCTAGTGTGCATTACATAAAAAGGCTGTGCTTCTTCTTTCCTGTAAGAATTTAAAAAGTAGGAATCTGTATTTGGAGAAAACTATGTACATGAAATGAAACAGTAAATTATTTTATGCCTACTATCATCCTCCTCCTCATCACCACTGTCTGAATGATGAAGGTTTTGGAGTGCTTATGAAACCATTTACAGGAACCAGTTTTAGCTAATATGGGTAAGATGTCTATAGAAGGAGAACTGGTGGGGTGGAAAGCATTACTTTGGATGAGATTTTTTTTCACCTTCACCACAAATAACATTGAATTTAAAGTTAACATATCTGATTTTTTTCATATAGTTATTCTCCCTTCTGCCAAATGTAGTTGTTGTGTATTTGAATAATAAAGAAATAACACTTCAGTTGTCAGTCCTTCCTCTATCCCTGACTCCCTCAGCACTTACTTGGTTACACTCTGTGTCTGCTGTGTCATGACCAAGTACTATGGATCCAACACTCATCCTCTGCCTGAAGCCCAGTGAAGATTCAGACTCTGTCCTCACAATTGATATGAATATGTGACAGGAGCTTTCTGGAGTAGAAAACCATTGGAGAGCAGACACAGATATAGAGTCCACTTGACTAGAATCATCATACTGAAGGCTGAAGACACAAGTTGAATATTTACTATTATATGCCCTTGGAGTCTCAATGCACAATGCTCATAATTAGACAAATTGGTCTATGTTGTCCCAACCTCTGTGGAATTAATAGATATTAATGGAGAAAGAAGTATTAGAGAAAAAGAATGCCCACCAAAGATTTTAAACCTTCATGTACTCTGGAGGATGCTCATGTGTAATATTTACTTCATTTGTATCTTTTCTAAAGAGTCATCTTTATTTTATTCCATTTGTACTGTGCTAAAGTACACATAAAAGAATTTACCATTTTATCACTTTAAAATATGCTCCTTGGTGGCATTAATCTCATTTACATTGTTGTGAAACCATCAATATTATCCATCTCCAGAAAGTTTTTATTTTCTCAAATTGAAACAGTGCCTATTTTTTAAAAATTCACATTTCTCTCTCCCACCAACTGTGGAAATCATCTCTATACTAAATAAGATGGTGGAAGTTAAAAATGTTAAACTACAAAAACAATGAAACTAAGAAACTAAGAAAGAAAGCAGGATTTATAGGTATGGATAGATTTGTTGCCTTTTCCAACCAATATTCTAAAAGGAAGCCACAGGTCCAGAGATTAGACCATTCTGCTGTGGAGACTTCACAGGGCACTCTTCATGTTCTTGTTTCTCAGACTGTAGATAAAGGGATTCGGCATGGGAGTGACCACAGTGTACATCACTGAGGCCACTTCAACCATTTTTGGAAAATGTGATACAGCCGAAGCAAGGTATATTCCAATTTCTGTTTCAGAGTGTAAGCAAGCAACTGATAGGTGAGAACCACAGGTGGAGATTAGTTTATACTTCACACCTGATGCTGGGATTCTCAAAATGGTAAAAACAATTTTATGTTAAGAGAAAATTATACCTGAGAAAGGAAGAAAACCATAGATGGCACCAACAAAATTTGTGATTATGATTTTGGTAAAGGTATAAGAACAGGCAAGACTAAGGAATTGAGAAGGATCACAGAATAAATTGGAAATCTCCACATTTTTGAAATAGGATAAGAGTTATAATTAATTATCATAGTAAAGTTAATCACTATACTGTTTGACCTAAATATCCTGTGACCTTGTGTTATGGTTTTTGTAGTTCCCTAATTGCAACTTTTTGTTCTTATATAAGTAAATATTGAATATTTGGAGAAGAGTAACTGAATCATTCATTTTGGGATTTCCAAGAGCCTAAGTCTTCCTTGGCACAGAGGATGTATTATTCATTATCTGTTTAAGCCTTACTCAGTATAGTTGTCTCAACTAGATATTAATTCAGTGACAACATAGAGTCTCAGAGATATAAAGAACTTGCTCTATGTCACACAGAAATAAGTGGAGCCAACATTGAATTTTAGTCTGAGTCCTACTCTGTTCCTCTTAATTGTTTCTTGATATCCTGAACATTAAATCAGTGTTCTAGAAGACTTAACCACAAGTACATCTAAGGTACATTTTTAACTCTAGTTTCCTGAGTAAGAATGGAACTCAAGACCTTGACTTGAGTTTTGTGACTTGTGGAATGATTGCAAGAGTGGATGAAGAAGTGGGTGATTGAAGTGAAGTGGAGTGGGGATGAGAGAGAGACTTGCCATGGCCTGTCATGTGTGAACTCTTTCTGTGACCTGTCTTTGACCTCAGCCATTCTTCATACAGTTGATGCAGCAGGTGTCACCCACTGGTTTCCACTGTGATCTACTGTGAACACTAAGGACAGGGGAAGAGCACAATGAGCAAAGAGGAATATTCCTGGAATGAAAGGAAATGAAATGGTTGGTTGGGTTGTCAAGAGAGAAAACTGACCAGGTGCCTTTGAGTCATAAATTCTGAATTTGAATCTGATTTCACCCCCTGTCCTACCTGAAAAAGTAGTGCAAGTTTCGTAAAAATCCTATACTCCTTTTATCGTCTCTAAAATAATAATAATGTGACCAATAACAACTTGGAGACTATGCAGATGAAATGAAAGAGGCTACATGGAATACATAGCAGAGAGCTTGGCAATTAGCAGGCCCTTCATAAAGGCTCATGATGTCATGGTTGGTGCTGTCTTTTTTGTGGTGGTTAATCTGAATTGTCAACTTGATTGTATTAATAGATGCATAAGGTTAAAAGTCTTCTGGGTGTGTCATTGAGGGTGTTTCTGCATGCAGGACAGTGAACTGAGACAATCCACCTTAATGAGGGCAGGATGGAATCCTGGATGGAACAAAAATATGGAAGAATTAGGAAGCAGAAGCAGATGCAAACATAAAAGACATTCTTCACAGAAGTAGGAAAAGCAATTGTGAAATTCATTTGGAAAAATAAGAGACCCAGGGGCCCAGCCAACGCCTGCAAGGAAGGCAGGCCGCGCATCCCGGAGAAGGGGCCCAGCGGCCCACTGGCGTGGTAGACAGATCACCCCAATTGGAGGAGGGGCCCAGCCGCTGCCCGTGCCTGCAAGGTAGGCAGACCTGCGACCTGGAGAACAGGCCCAGCGGCCCACCAGCACAGTATACAGATCACCCGAATTGGAGGAGGGGCCCAGCTGCCGCCTGCAAGGTAGGCAGACCTGTGACCTGGAGAAGAGGCCCAGCGGCTCGCATGCGCGGTAGACAGACCTCCCCAGTTGGAGGAACCCAACCTCCCACCGGTGCAGTAGACAGACCATTTCAACTGCAGGAGGGGCCCTGCCACCGGCCGGTGCAGCCACCTGACTGAGCTCTTGACAAACATAAGGTTTCCCCAACACCCCCACCTCATCAAAAACCTTATGAGAAAAACTGATGGAACTCATCTTGGAAAATCCCACCAACCCTTAAAACCCACCAACCGATTGGCTGGCATGACTACCAGTATGGTTCTGCAGCAGATCAGGCACCTGGTTTACATCTCAGAGAATAAGAGTAGAGAGGCCATAGGTGGAAGCTCAAGTCTTCTCACACTGACTACCACCACCATCCTGAACCCAGAGACTCAAGCTAGGAATAGACAATGCCACCAACTGGAAGAAATGAAAACAGAGTTCTGAGAGATATTTTTTTTCTTTTTTTCTTTCTTTTTCTCTCTTCTTTCTCTCTTGTCAGCCATTCACACAGTCTCCTCTACCCTTCCCCCTAGGGTCTTCGCAACCTCAACATATATGAAACCAAAAATTGTGCATGAAAAAGGTCTTTAACAACTGAATCACCAGCTATGTTCATCAAACAAACTCTTCTCAAGTTCAAGAGTCTAATAGACCACTATACAATAATTATGGGAGACTTCAAAACATCTCTCTCACCACTGGACAGATCTTCCAAACAAAAGGTGAATAAAGAAACTATAGAATTCAATAATGCAATTAATAACCTAGACTTAATTGATATATATAGAATATACCACCCAACATCAATCAGTTACACTTTTTTTCTCAGCAGCACATGGATCCTTTTCAAAAATAGATCATATATTATGTCACAGGGCAACTCTTAGACAATATAAAGGAGTAGAGATAATACCATGCATCTTATCTGATCATAATGGAATGAAACTGAAAATCAACGATAAAAGAAGGAAGGAAAAATCATGCATCACTTGGAGAATGAACAATAGGTTCCTGAATGAACAATGGGTTATAGAAGACATCAAGGAGGAAATTAAAAAATTCTTAGAGATAAATGAAAACACAGACACAACATATCGGAATCTATGGGACACATTGAAAGCAGTTCCAAGAGGAAAATTCATTGCTTGGAGTTCATTCCTTAAAAAAAGAAAAAACCAACAAATAAATGATCACATACTTCATCTCAAAATCCTAGAAAAAGAAGAGCAAAACTACAGCAAAAGAAGTAGAAGGCAAGAAATAACTAAAATCAGAGCTGAAATTAATGAAATCGAAAAAAAAGAAACAATTGAAAAAATTGACAAAACTAAAAGTTGGTTCTTTGAAAAAATAAATAAAATCGACAGACCCTTAGCCATGCTAACGAAGAGAAGAAGAGAGAGAACTCAAATTACTAGCATATGGGATGAAAAAGGCAATATCACAACAGACACTTCAGAAATGCAGAAGATAATCAGAAATTATTTTGAATCCTTATACTCCAATAAAATAGAAGATAGTGAAGGCATCGATAAATTTCTTAAGTCATATGATCTGCCCAGATTGAGTCAGGAGGATATAGACAACCTAAACAGACCAATATCAATTGAGGAAATAGAAGAAACCATCAAAAGACTACCAACTAAGAAAAGCCCAGGACCGGATGTGTATACAGCAGAGTTTTACAAAACCTTTAAAGAGGAACTAATACCAATACTTTTCAAGCTATTTCAGGTAATAGAAAAAGAGGGAGAACTTCCAAATTCATCCTACGAGGCCAACATCACCCTGATTCCTAAACCAGACAAAGACACTTCAAAGAAAGAAAACTACACACCAATATCTCTAATGAACATAGATGCAAAAATCCTCAATAAAATTCTGGCGAATCGGATACAAAAACATATCAAAAAAATTGTGCACCATGATCAAGTAGGATTCATCCCTGGGATGCAAGGCTGGTTCAATATATGGAAATCAATAAATGTTATTCACCACATCAATAGACTTAAAAATAAGAACCATATGATCATCTCGATAGATGCGGAAAAAGCATTCGACAAAGTACAGCATCCCTTTATGTTCAAAACTCTAGAAAAACTAGGGATAACAGGAACATACCTCAATATTGTAAAAGCAATCTATGCTAAGCCTCAGGCTAGCATCATAATGAATGGAGAAAAACTGAAGGCATTTCCTCTAAAATCTGGAACAAGACAGGGATGCCCTCTCTCACC